AGCTTGGTTCCTATGTTTCGATTTGGCATATGGCTTCTTTGAGCAAGCTTGGTTCCTATGCTTTGATTGGGCACCTGGTTTCTTTGATCAAGTTTGGTTCCTATGCTTTGATTTGGAATTTGGCTTCTTTGAGCAAGCTTGGTTCCTATGTTTCGATTTGGCATATGGCTTCTTTGAGCAGGCTTGGTTCCTATGCTTCGATTGGGCATCTGGTTTCTTTGAGCAAGCTCGGTTCCTATGCTTCGTTTGGGCATTTGGCTTCTTTGTGAAGTAGGAAAGCAATCCATAATTCCTTTCGTTTTGACTATGCCACTGAGATCTTCTTGCTTACTCAAAGTGGCATATTCATCTAAAGATGGCTCATTTGAAAGACTTGTAATTTTTAGGAATATTTAATTTTGTCTACCTTTGAGTTTGGTTAAAGGTTGGACCTGTGTGATCAAAATAAAAGGACTCAAAGTGGCATATTCAACTAAATATGGCTCATTCGAAAGACATGCCATTGGTGGGAACATTTAGTTTTATCTGCCCTTGAGTTTGGTCGAAGGTTGGACCTATGTGATCAAAAATAAAAGGATTCAAAGTAGTATATTCAGCTGAATATGGCCCATTCGAAGACCATGCAATTGTTGGAGACATTTAGCTTTGTTTGCTTTTGAGTTTGGTCGAAGGTTGGATCTATGTGGTCAAAACAAAAAGACATAATATTCTATTCAAGGCATCAAGTTGAAGACAAGATCCCTAGGCCAAGCTACATGAGCTTGCTTTTTAGGCCTCAAAGTTGCGCCTCACTCTATAATTAATTGTTTACGCAATTAAATTAAACTCTTACCCAAGTGTTTTCCAAGCCAACTTTCCCTTAATGATATAAAGTTATCATTGCCATTTTTAGAAAAGTTTTTTAAGTCCTGCGCTTGTCCCTTCTACACACATATCCCCTATGAATTAGGAGCAACAGGTCTAAGGCCTCCAAACAACTTCAGACCATGCTTGTACAACACCTTGAAACTTATTTTCCACTTTTTCTTCAAAAAAAAGCAAGTTCACCTTTAAAACCTACAACGGAAAGATCCCTTGTGTAAAAACACCTCTAACCTTTTCTCTATAAATATAGAGACCATTTGCAAATCAAAGGGGCTTGTTTTTCTTATTGTGTGAAAAAATCCTAAAACACTCCCAAATTCTCAAAAACTCAGAATCTCCATCCAAAGCCATGTTGCTTATCATTTTTTGGCTTTTGAAGAACCAACTCCACAATCCTTCGAGCGTCTCCCCTTTCTTCCACTCGAACAATATCCATACACCACACAGAGAAGGATCACTAGCCTAAACTATCAAATACCTCCTTGTGTTCTTTTGGCCTTTCGGTTCATGAAGCCTCCATATACCAACTTTTCAATTCAAGTGATTTTCAAAGCAAAGTAGTAACTGGAATAGCTTCAAGAAGTTTGAAGCAGACTTGATCCATCATCAAACTGTTCCTGGAGGCTCTGTCGAAGTATCTCAAGTTTTGCTCCAAGAGGTAAATTTTCTTAAACTTGGGACTTCTTTCATTCAAACATCATTTGTATATACATTGAAAGGAAAAATGTAGATATCATGTCTAGGAAGTTGACCATGCTCTTAGTTTTGATTATCACTGCTTATACGTTGAAACTACAACTCTGACTAGTTAGGCTTTGATTTTGGCACCAAAAAATTTTGTGCTAATATCTGATCTGTAGCTTTCAAAAGTTACATAGTTAGATGTGTCTTCAAGTTTTAGACAGGCTTGATATTTATACTGTTTGATTTGGTTGAGAATCGAAGCTTTTAAAAGCTTAACATGGTGATACATATCCCTACGCTCGTAGGAAGAAGAAACTAGGTATTTCAAACATTCAGAAACGAGTTCATCTTATACCTAGTCGAAGTCATCTTATGAACGAATGAAACAGGCCACCCCAGTGGTACAAACAACGCGCGTGAAAGGCATTTATATATCAGGTCCTGAGTTCAAACCTTGGCAGGACCAAAATAGTTTTTATCATTTGTTTGTTTCCTTTTCTTTTTTAACAAACTTCAAACATTTTCCCAACCAATCAAAACAACTCATTTTGAGTTGATTTTTTGCACACTATTTATTTTATGAATATATAAAAATATCACAAAAAATATTTTAGTTTCATAATCATTAACCAAAATCAAAAGAACTTCATTTTCTTTTTATTCATATTTTGTATGTTATTTTCCTTTTAATTTTTGTACCTTATTCAAATTCAATATGGTTGTAATAGATAATTAGGATTTAATTTCTTGCAAATCCTCATTTGTAAATTTATACATCTCATCCCCAAATGATGTAATAGCGTAGTAAGTTTACTTTCCATAATTTACCGCCTTGATATAAATTGTTAGTAATTAGGGTGTGTATGGAAAGATAAAATTAATGCTTAGAAAACCCTAATCCAAGATAAATCAAGCATGAAAAAATAAACACTTGCACACTTGCACCTCTAGGATTAGCTCCACTTGTTGCCTCGGAAAATAGTCATGTCTCTCGAATATGAGCGTTTTAGCAAAGACCTTTGATAAAAAGATCGTAGTCTCTCGACGTTGCCTTCGGTAAACGATCTAGTCCCTAACGAAAATTGCTAAAACGTCTCATAGGTTGCCTTCTATGATTATACAATTGACCCACGACCGTCCCTTCACATCCAATGATAGGATTTCTTACCAATCAAGGGTAAGATAGCAACATCTAAAGGAGGAGGAAAAGAACAAAGACCTTTTGAGTAGGTAGGACGCTCGTAGTTGCCTGCTTTTAAACTAAAAACCATTTTTCCACACTTACACTTTCAAAAACATCTTCAAAAAACAAATATCTCTTTGAATTATTTTCAAAAAGTCTAACACTTTGTATGCATTCTTATAGAGACGTGAATCATTATAAAGTTTTCCTCAACGAATGCGCTTTTCAAAAATACTTTCAAAACCCACCACAAACCATATTTTCAAACAAAGCATGATCTAGCAAGCAACTAAGAGCCCGTAGATAATTATGGATGAAAAAGGTGCTAACACCTTCCCTTTTCATAATCTACCCCCCCCCCCCTCTGAACTCAAGAAAATAATTTAAAAGGTCTTTCCTGTTCTTTTCACCCTTTCCTTATTGGATAAAAGAAAAGTCGGTGGCGACTCTTGTTATTCGCAACAATTGCGATAAAACACAAAATAAATCAAGTCAGTTCTCCCACCATATTACAGACACCATCTAATCCAAGACTTTTAAAACTATCAAATTCAAATCGTCTACCTCGCCTCTTTTCCCAAAGGCTTCTCTAAACCATAAAGCCTCCATGTCATTAATAGTTTTGAATAATAAATTATCGATACGAAAAGTAGTCACTCTAACATTTAGAGTTTGTTTGGTAAGACTCAAAAAAATAGCTTTTAATTTTTAGTTTTTCAGTTTACATTAATGAAAAAGTTTCGTTTAGTAATTCGATTTTATCTTTTAGTTTGTAGCTTTTTTACTAATTTTTAGTATTTTTAAAAAAAAAAATTATTTGAAGTAGCTTTTGAGTTTGTAGCTTTTAACTTGTGACTTTTTCTTCCATTTATACCCTTATTATTTTAACAAAAATATATTATTATCCTTATTAGTTAGATGACTTTTTATGTCATTTTATATCTATCAGCTAATTAAACATCTAATTTACCGAACACTTATGTTAATTTATCAGCTATCAGTCACAAACTATAAACTACCAACTATCAACTACCAGCTAATTTTATCATACGGAACGTTAAATTTACTATAAACATTCTAAATACTATTGAAAATCTAAGCAAGGTTTGTCATGTGATAAAAGACTAAGGGTCTCTTTGTTTCGGCATTTTAAAATGAATTATTATTTTAAAATGATTATATCATACTGTAAAAAATATAATGAAGGTAATATACATACAGTAAATTTTTGTTCTTCTTATAATAAAGACCAGAGAAAATAATTCTTATATTTATATAAATATAAAGGTAAAATATACCGTAGAATTGAGATTTATTTTAGAATTTTTGATAGTTATATTAATATTTGAAAAATGCAGTTTGATTATTTAAAATTTTTGAAAGTGCAAAATAAATTATATATGTAATATAAAAAATTTAGTAGAATTCATAACTAAAAATATAAAATTTAGATATAATTTTTAAGTATAACTTTTATTATTTTATTAATGAAAATATGACAATTATATTTAAATATTATTTAAAAGAGTAAAATTAAAAATAATTTATATATGTATAAGAAAAAATTATATACTTATCCTATTTTAACTTGAAAATAATAAGAATTAAACTTAAAGAGTTAAAAAAATCCAAAAAATATAGATACTCTTAAAAAGAAAAGTATCACACCGACTTTTGTGAATTTTTAAGAATATACCACTGCATGTTTTAATTATATATATTTTTAGATAGTACATAAATTTGGTCCCAAAAAGGAAAAAAATACTATATAGGAAAAAAAGTTGAATAATTTTAGATAGGGAATAAATGTAAAGGAAAAAAATAACGTGATGTGGTTGAAAAAGATCCAAGAATGAATTAGTGATAATTGAGTGGCCAGACACACTTATTTTTCTTTTCTCTTGTATCTATATATCTATACTGTATCTATATATAACCGTCACACCATTCTTCAGTTCTTCAATTCTTTCATTTCACTCCTCTCCTCTTCAGTATCAGGTTCAGATTCTTCTCTCTTTTATTTTATTTATTTATTCAATTTTCATTTTATAATAATGCATTATTATCATCATCACCACCACCACCATCATTTTATAATATTAATAATGTCGTTTTATCGTTTGTGGTTCTTTCTTCTAATTTGTGTCGGTTGGTATTCCTGTCTGATTCTTCCTTAAAAACTGCAACCTTAATGTTTGTGTGATCATCTTTTGTGTTTAATTCTTATCAGTTTTGTGTTTGTCTGTGTGGTTTTCACTTTTTTTTCAGAATGGGAAGTTCTGGAACAACCGAGTATGGTGCATACACATACCAAAACCTTGAGAGGGAGCCTTATTGGCCATCAGAGAAGCTAAGAATTTCCATCACCGGAGCTGGTGGTTTCATCGCCTCACACATTGCTCGCCGCCTTAAGACTGAAGGTCATTACATTATTGCTTCTGATTGGAAGAAGAATGAACACATGACTGAAGACATGTTCTGCCATGAGTTTCATCTTGTTGATCTTAGGGTTATGGATAATTGCCTCAAAGTTACTGAGGGTGTTGATCATGTTTTCAACCTTGCTGCTGATATGGGTGGGATGGGTTTTATTCAATCCAATCACTCTGTTATTATGTATAACAATACAATGATTAGCTTCAATATGATTGAGGCTGGTAGGATTAATGGTGTTAAGAGGTTAGTTTTATCTCTGATTTAGAGCTGTTTGATTTGACTTATTTGAGTTTATAGGCTCTGTAGCACCAATACCTCTGATCAAAGTCAGTCTGACACTGACATGACACTAACACATGTGATAATGTGTCAATGTCATGTCTGGTGTTCAGTGTCGGTGCTTTATAGGTTATAGTTATAAAAATATCTTAGACTTAAGAATTTAGAGTCTCATGATTTTTTGTGATGAGTAGATGAATATATATGTTGTGGTGTTGGATTCAATTACTTATCTGTGTCGCTTTTTATTTTGTGTAGGTTTTTTTATGCCTCTAGTGCTTGTATCTATCCTGAATTTAAGCAGTTGGAGACGAACGTGAGCTTGAAGGAGGCTGATGCATGGCCGGCTGAGGTTTGTTTTTGGTCTCTTTTAAGTTGTTCGGTTCGGTTATGCTCTAATTCATTAGAGTTTAGTGTTATTCATTAGAGTTTAGGGTTAGGATGAATGTTTTTAATTTTACGAATTTTCTAGCCACAAGATGCATATGGGTTGGAGAAGCTTGCAACAGAAGAGTTATGCAAGCATTATAACAAAGATTTTGGAATTGAGTGTCGCATTGGGCGGTTCCATAACATATATGGCCCTTTTGGAACATGGAAAGGTATGCTCATAACTCTATCGTAAATTTTGCATCGTGCCATCGTTTTTTATTCTGTATCCTTTTGCATTTAAGAAGTTTGTTGCTTTGTTGTTCGTCATCATACAGGTGGAAGGGAGAAGGCTCCTGCTGCTTTTTGTCGGAAGACACTTACTTCCACTGATAAATTTGAGATGTGGGGAGATGGATTGCAGACACGATCCTTCACCTTTATTGACGAGTGTGTTGAAGGCGTGCTTAGGTATGATCGTGCTGATCTTGTGGCTGTTGCAGCTAAATTAATGACTTTCCCTTGGTTTTTCATTTTGAGTTAGGTTCATTCCTCCGTAAAACTTAGTGTTGCGTTCCGTTGTCCACTTTTCCTTTTAGATTGACTAAATCAGACTTCCGGGAACCAGTGAATATTGGAAGTGACGAAATGGTTAGCATGAATGAGATGGCTGAGATTGTTCTTAGCTTTGAGAACAAAAGCATACCAATCCAACACATTCCTGGTCCAGAGGGTGTTCGTGGCCGCAACTCAGACAATACTCTTATCAAAGAGAAACTTGGCTGGGCTCCAACAATGAAGTTGAAGGTATTAATGTTATTAACTGAGTGACTCCTTTATGGAAATTCCGTATCGTATACTTTGTTTATGCTTCATTGGTCTCAATTAACGGGATTGCGTGTTTTTCTCATAGCATCTCAATTCTGATATTATTACAGGACGGACTGAGAATTACATACTTCTGGATTAAGGAGCAGCTTGAGAAAGAGAAAGCTGGAGGTGTTGATTTAACATCCTATGGATCATCCAAAGTGGTTCAAACTCAAGCTCCGGTTCAACTAGGCTCTCTTCGGGCAGCAGATGGCAACGAATGAAATAACCAAAGCACAGTTATTGGTACATTCACATAAATGTTTCAAATGAAGGACTAGTTTTAAGTTGCTATTTTAAAGAGATATTTGGTTATAGTTAATAAGTTATATTAAGGTTAATTTCGGAAGTTGTAATGCACTTATTGTATTTTATGTGCAGCCTGTTTTTAAGCGGCACTTGGTGCATATGTTTGTTGTGTGACTGCTGTAGGAATTATAATTGTGTTTTTTAAGTCTGAATGATTGAAACTTAGCAGAGTTGTTTTCTTTCATTTTGGACCAAGTATTTGAAACCTTCGACAGTGAAACGAGTAGGGACAGAAAGAAGAAAAAAAAGACCATTTTATGGTTGATGCAGGAAAGTTCATAACTAAAGGGCAATGGATTTTTCTTTTCTGATTTGTTGTTGTCTTTGTCCTTTTGACAAAACTCTGAACATGTGAATGGCATGAAAATAGGTGGTCCATGTTTTTGGATGTTGTGAGGGTGAACATGGCCCTATCTTGCAACTTGTTTGCACCATGGAGGTACAACAAGGCTAAAAGCCTAAAGCATAAAGTAGGGAGAAGATTGCACATGGAGACACGAGGCCTGAGAAATTAGAAACGCGGGGTTGATAAAAGTTGCTCCCTAAAGTAAAGGGTGCTTATCACATGTCATATTATTTTGTTTACTTTTTCCTTGAGAGTTGCTGGTTTTTGAAGCAAAAGGGAAGTGAGCAACAAATTTAGTATATCACTTCATAAAACATTTTTCATTCTACATTTCATTCTTTACAATGGTTTTATAAATATGAAAAGGATAGTTGTGACATTATGTGAGCTCTAAATAGCATCAGTACTCATCACATCACCCTAAAATTTATTTGTAATGGACAGAAGAAACAGAGGATCTAATTCATATTATGCAGTCATTCAATAGCACTTGATAATACTAATGTTCAAACACTCGATCATCATGCTGGATTATGTGATTGCTGCGTTCAGAAAATCAGGTAGCAATTCATATCATAATATCATTATACGCATACTATTTAAGGTACTATGTATAAGTAAAATTCATTATACAATATACACCCAACCCGCATGCCCTGTAATGATACGGAGTTACAAACATATGAAATATAGCTCACCCTCAAGCAAAGTCCTGATATACTGGATTCAACTCAAGTTGTTCTGCCATTTTCTTTAAGACATCTTTCAAAAGTTTTGCTGGCTCTTCTTTCTCTAATTCCACTGCACCTTTTTCTTTAGCTACATCAGCAAAAACACAATCATAAAAAAGATCAGCTGCATCGCCACCATCATATAGTGGTAAACCCAATTCCGTAGTGTTTTTCTCAAGGAAGCTCCTTATTATTTCTGTGCTTCCTAGACCATCCTTTGCATTGAGTTTTTCTTGTGATGCCTTCTCTATAAAGCTGTTTAACTCCTTTTCATTGGCCAATAGCTGCAACATTGTCAACAACATAAGTTGATTAATAAGAGTAGTCGGAACTTGGCTCGGCTGAAGAGCTCAAGACGTCACAGAAATCACAATTGATAAATTTGAGTTATTTCATTAACTTCTAAAATTGTAAGTCTCAAACAATTGATGGGAAGTGGGAAGATGTACAGTCTTTGATAGGTCTTTTAGCCTTTTCTGTTTTTCAACATTGGTGATATTATGATATATTTTTTCCATAACAAAAAAGATAACCAGCATTTGTGATTAGAAAAATGTAGATGCTATGGTATAGATGTATAAAAACTACACAAGATTGAAACATAATCTTTTTTAAATAATCTAAGAAAATACCTGTCTTATCTTAGAGCCATTTATGATTTGGATATTCTGGATGAAAACAAAATTCTTTTTGGAAAGTTCCACTTCAAGATCTTGTAATACAAACTGCAGAAGCTGTGCAAATTGTGCCTGGCCCAGTTCTTCTTCTCCATCCGCTCCATGTTTACTCAACAAATCGTTTAGCTGAGGATATTCTGCTTATTTATGTTTAAAAAGTCAGTTACAGCAGACCAAAGTAATTGACATGCATATCAAGGACAAATTAAACATATCCTACTAAAATAACATAGCACTAATATTAGCCAGTTTCAAACAAGAAAAAATATAGGTCAAAATTTCATTTGTACAGATATAAATCTGTGCATCTCCACACTGTTAATCAAGTCAACTGCAACATTGACAATGGCAAATAAGGCATTACGACATATCAAACAGTGCAAGCACATAAAGTTACACCCATAACATAAAACTTATGAGGATATGAAAGGCTCATTAATTTTGAGTGCAAAACAAGCAGAAGCTGATTCTCAATTATAAATATCTCAATGGAATTCAAAGGATCAACTAATTTTTTGATTTCTTAGTTACAATTTAGCAGCTGCCCTATCCATGATGTGATGGGAATAAAGCGAAAAATCAAAACAATCACTACTCGTAGTCATCATCATACAATCTAACAAAATTTTAATTTGTTTTCAGGATTTGATCATTTAGTTTTCTAAAGGAAAGAGGTAGACCAGAAACCAGTTGTTCATGACAAGAAAAAGTTCAATGAACAAAACAAATCATATCTTAGATTAAAGATACGTCTAAATTACATTCATCAGATTAAAGATTAAACTTTCACCCTGAAGAAGACGACATGGCCTAAAATACATATGAATTAAGATGAAACAGGAATCAGTGAAATGTGATGCTTAAAGTCTTAGTATAATAGTATTGAGAATCACATACACAAAATATCCATAACAATGAGGTGAATAAGCAAGACTGCAGGACTTCATGCAAAATAATGATAAGGTATCTATTACCTAATCAGTTGGAAACATGAAAAAACAAGAATTACAACAAAAACAAACAAAATATTCAAACTGAAAAATAAAGTGAACCTGAGAAAGGAGGAACTCCCATGTCAACTCCCATCTGAACAAGAGCATTTCGAATCTCACTCTTGCTGATTTTCCCCTTATCTTCAACATCCAATTCAGTGAACAGATTTTCCGCTAACATAGCAAAATCATCCTCGTCCTCAAACAACAAACGAAGAGTACTTCCATCCAAGATTGATACAACAAGAGGACTACCTGTAAATCAACACAAATTCAATGTAAGCAACACTATATTTCTCTTCTTTCCAAAACATGAAGAAACAATTATTGACTAAACCACCAACTTAATCTCTATCCGTCAATTTAGTTCTAAAGCATATGAAATTCTGTTAACTTACCCCATAATATCTAAATAGCGCAGACTAACTTTGCAAATTTTATATACTTTAGGGACTACTTATGATCGTTGTAGCATTGACATCTCTGAACAAAAGTGTCTTTATGTTCATACGAATTGGCGTAATAACGCAACAAAACACCACAGTGAAGCCTTTGAGATTATTCTTATTTTCAAATTATTACTGATATCGACGTAACAGTTGATAGCGTATGCTAGTATTATATACTTCAAAGACTAAATTGAAGAAAGAGTTATAGTTAGGTACTCAATTGATGGTTTATTCAACTTGTAAAAGCACAAATTGCGCAATATAAAAAATTCAACAGAATATTAATTCAAAAGTTCCACTAAGTTACGATATTCTATATGCAAATGAAGAGAATAATTAACAGTAATTTTATTCCTACCAAAGTCAAAATCAAGTCCACAAACTCAAATTATTTCAATCAAAATTCAATAAACGCAGATTCGATCAACGCGTTTATGCAATTAAACTAAACGAATAATCAAATCAATCACAGAAAATCAGAATTACCGATCGATATTAGATAATAATAATAATAATAATGCATAATGAGCAGAAAAAGAGAATAGATGATAAACCTTTGAGTTCATCGGCGATGGCGGCGATGTACTGATTGAGGAATTGAGAAGCCTGTAAAGGCTGATACTCAGTCTCAGGTGAAAAGAAAGAATCATCGGAGATGGCGGCGATACTACGGAGGCGATTGAGTGCAGAGGCTTTGAGAGGATCGGGTAAAGGAAGATCGAAGAGAGAAGAGGAAGCTTGTGAATGTGCAATGTGAAGAATTTGAGCTCCGGTGAGCGGACGATCGGAGACGGCGGTGGATAGATCGAGGTCGCGGAGGGTAGTTCCGTCAAGTATCTGTAATTGGTCTGACATTTTGGTTTGGTGAGGAATGAGAGGAGGGAAGGAAGAAAGACTTGAAAGTTGAATTCAAGTATTGATAAATTCCCCTTTCTTTCTCTCTTTTTCTAAACTTTAATCTAACTATGACTACTAAAACACGTTTTTAAATTACGCGTTTTCTATTCAATAAAGTATCACTTTTAAACGTAAAATCAAATTCAAAAACGAAAATTTATTATTGGATAATATAATTTTTTTTTACACAAATAACTTAATTCATTTCATTCATGAAGTGTTACTCAATACAAGGGAGAATTAATTCAATGAAATTATGTCTAGTCTAAAAATTGGCTTCTCTAATTCACAAATGAGCTATCGAATTTATTTAGCGTTTAAAAAATTTTACCTCAAAATTGAGATAAACATACAATAAATTCTTAATTGACTTAATAATTAAGTTAAATTCATAACTACTATCTTTATTAGAATGGGTTGCTTGCACCACTATTTGAGAGTCACTTTCAAATTACACTTGATTCAACTGCATTCAGATGGCTGTCTATATTGCTTCCTTCAAGGCCATGGCTTCTGCTTCTATAGTTTAATAGAGTTCATAGTCCCAAACTATACATGCAATGACAAATCTACCATAATTGTCTCTAACACACCAATCCCTATTTATTGTTTTTCTTTGAATGTTGAACCCGACATCCACATTACACTTCAACCATCTAACATTCAGCGGATTTCAAATTGTTTGGTAGTTATTACCATCACTATCAGAGTTATGGTCTTCTTGATGTTTAAACTAATCTTGTAAAGTATGAAAAGATTGCGTACCTAAATGCATAACACCATCTCTCTCATTATTCCATATGAAATTATTTCTATTATGTTACATGACCCAAATCAACACAACAACTCTCCCTCCAACCCTCATATCTTCCTTATTACAAACATCCAAGAGAATATATTTAGCATCATTAAAATTTTGTAGAAGAGGCTCTATAATAGAAGATAACCTAACTATCCTCCAACGTAGGTTAACAAGTTACAACTAAAGAACACATGTCAATCATCTTCTTCATTATCTTCACACAATTGACAATGTGAAGAACATGGGACAAAATGTTGACGAAGTTTGAGTTGAGTTGAAAGACAACCTCTACAAATACGCCAAGCTAAGTGTTTTGCTTTAGGAGGTGCATTAATATTCCACAAACTACATCAATCTCCTTCTGCACTACGGTTCATCTGACTTAATTGGATCCTCCTCAATAACTTGTACCCTGCTTTCATTAAACTCTCCATCTTGCTCATCTCTCCACACCATCCTATCTTCTATAACATCTTCCACAAAAGGAACTTTTAGAATCTCGTTAGCAACTTCTTGTGTAAACAAGTGTCTAACTTTCTGCCCATCCCATTGTTTAACATTAGCTAACATAAGGTCCTTAACATAAATGTCATACACTTCTTGATCTTGAGGCTTTCCTATCCAACCCTCTCCTTCACCTCTAAGTCAAGGCTCTATCATGACCTTCATCTTACTTACATCCTCTATCTGCCACCTACCTCCAATATTCAAGACACTTATGGTTTTCGATAAACTTCTCCAAACAAAACTTGAGTTATTTTCAAGATTAGCTTAAAAAAAGAGGATCTAGGATAATACCTTGATTTATAAAAAAGTTGGATATATTACTTTTAAAACAAAAATTTAATATATGATTTTTCACCTTAAAATAACATTAATAAAAAACTATTATATTTTTCCACCCCTAATGTGTTAGAGACATGCAATAGTTTTTCTCTATGGATATGCAGCTTCAGTCTCTCCATTTTTTAGTTTGGCAAGCTTTCACTTGGAATCGAGTCGACTTTGAGCTAAAAGTAAAAAACACTTGTGCTTTCTCTGAAACAATGCACACAAACTACAACATAACACGCATAAAACAATTCTAGATTCCATTACAACTTCTCCCCTTTTGACAACATCAAAAATAGATAGATTGAAATGGGTCTAGAGACCAAATAACCAACCACAAACAAATAATTCCAAATGAACATATGAGCTAAACATCTAAGAAGAATATACAACAACAATGATCAGATACATAACACGAAGATAGACATGTTATATGCAACAAAATTCAAGATAGACATGCAACACCAACATTCAACAACATACAATTAAGTGATTAAAACTAATATATAAATGAATGCATTAACAACATAGATAATGTATGAACAAGTATACAAATGCTCGAATACACATGATAAACAACACACATTTAAAAGACTTAAATGCAAATAAGAACAATCAAAACATGCTAGAGATGAATGAGTAAAGTAAATAAGATAATAAGCAAACCAATGAACATATCTAGAACAAACACACGCAATGATATAAAGCTAGATACAAGAGTTATAGAGACATACCAATGTAATCAACAAAAGTATGATTTTCTACAAAATAGTGTTAGTGAAAACATAATATACATAGCAAATGAAACTAAGCAGAATTCACATTCTATTTAAAGCATAAGGAATATAAGATTCTAAACTTCTACAAATCTTGTGAAAAGATTCTGATGACAATGGTTTTATAAAAATGCCAGCAAACTGACTTTTAGTGTCATCATATTCAAAAGCAACATTCCCTTTTTCAATATGATCTCTAAAAAAATGGTGTCGGATCTCAATGTATTTAGTTCGTGAATGAAGTATCTGATTCTTAGTGAGGCTTATCGCACTAGTACTATCACACTTAATAAGAATGCAACCAAGTTTTAAATCATAATCTAGTAATTGGTGCTTTAGGCATAAGACATGTGCATAACTACCAGCGGCTACGTATTCAGCCTCAGAGGTAGAAAGATAAACACTATGTTGCTTCTTACTGTGCCTAGAAACAAAAACTTCCAAATAAGTGACAAGTAACACTAGTACTTTTCCTATTCTACTTGCACCCTACAAAATCGAAATCATAAAAATCTACTAAGCTACAAGCACTACCTTTAGGATACCAAAGACCGTATTGGGAGGTTCCATTAAGATACCTCAAAATATATTTTACGATCTTAAAGTGGGTTTTCTTAGGTGATGCTTGATATATAGCATACATGCACACGATAAACATGATATTTGGCCTACTCACTGTTAAATAGAGTAAGGATCAGATTATACCTCTATACTTGGTAATGTCGAAGTCAACTCCTCTTTCATCTTTGTCAATAAGCACATTAGATGTCATAGGCGTTGTGATACTTTTTTAGTATTACATATCGAACTTCTTGAGAAGCTCTAAGAAATATTTTTTTTTATTTATGAAAGTCTCTTGTTTGACTTGCTTGATTTGAAATCGTAAGAAATATGTCAGCTCTTCCATTAAAGACATCTCAAATTCACCATGCATCAAACTTGTAAGCTCTTAAAGAAGAGATTTATTAATATAACCGAAAATAATATCATCTACATATATTTTAACTAAAAGAATATGTTTTATTTTATGTCTAATAAACAAAATAGTGTCGACTTTACCACGACTGAATTCCTGTTTGATTAAAAATCCACTCAATCGCTCATACTAATCTCTAGGAGCTTATTTGAGATCATGGAGGGATATTTTTAGTTTAAAAACATAGTTAGGATTATTGTGATCCTCAAAACATAGGGTTTGTGAGATATACACTTTTTCGTTTATACATTCGTTAAGAAAAGCAGATTTAACATTTATTTGATAAGCTTAAAATCCTGGAATCAAGGGAATACAAAAAGCATTCTAATATCGTCTAGACGAGCTACAAGAGCATAAGTCTCCTTGTAGTATATTCCTTCAGCTTAACTATATCCTTTTACCACTAATCTTGTTTTATTTCTAGTAATTACACCATTTTTATCCATATGGTTATGGAACCTTATTTTGCAGGTAATAGACTTTTAATCAAGACAAACATCTTTTGATGATGACAACTATAAAGAAAAGTACAGTGACATCCATCATGATAAAGATGCAACCAATGATAATTCAAACAGTTCACTTAAGAAGTTAAAGATGCAAGCCATGAATATAAAGGTTTGATAAACATAACTATCAGATAAAGGCAAACAAATTGGATTTTATAAAAAGCCTCAAGAGATCTCAAGCCAATGTGAACACCAAAATATCACAACCGACAATGCTTAGAGAAAATATCTTAAATTAGAAAGTGAGTGAAACTATGTAAATGAAAAGACACTTTTTTACAGAAGTACATGGCTATAAGCACACACACTTAAACATATTTTTCAAATGATTTACCAAAATAAAATACTTTGAAAAATATATAGAAGTTGTAAAGAACAGGACGGGAGCAGTAAAAAAGCCATAAAATAATTTTTGACTATATTTAATCGGTTGGAGTAAATTGCTAACTGATTAGATTGGCATGAACTTGAGGCACAAGGCAAGTTGAATGCACCTATATTCTATACAACGACTATATATATCTTATTTTTCCATATTTGGAACTTTTATACGATTAATTTTCAAAAATCAACCGATTAGAAAAAGTGTCAATCAATTGTATAATGACTTTGGCTTAAATGTTATTTCCTTTTTTGGGGAACCTCTAGCCTATAAATAGAGGCTCACTTTATCATTTCAAATCATTAAGAACACGAATTTGTGCATTGACACTCACTCTCTCTCTCTCTCTCTCTAAGTTTTATTTTTAACTTTCTCTCACTAGTTCTTATAGCCAAATGCTTTTGTGAGGAAAGTACCATTTGTGAGTGAGGTCATCATTGTAATTCTGGAAAGGTAGAATTGTATAAATTTATCAAGGTAACTATGTTTATAAACCTTGGTTGAATATTGACCAAATAGGGATTATATAGGTGGTTTTAAGCTAAACCCGTTAAATGCTTATTATTGGAGATATTATGATTAGTTCTTATACAGGTTAAAGATTATTTAGTCTTGATAATATTCCTTTGTTTCTTGATTGGTTGAAGATTAGCCTATATTAAAAACCTTCCTAGGTTTGAGA